ATTTTTTTATATATATATAGAAAATTTATATGCATTTTTAAAAATACTGTATATCATTTAAACACACACACATATATGCATAAAATAAATACATATACAAAAATAAAAAGAAACCCTGTTAAGGAAACCTAAACAGTACAGCTCTGATTCTGCTTTCATTTGTGGCGTTCCCCATTGCGAGTAATGTGAAATTCAATGACTGTGTAAAACTCATTCAAGAACAGAACAAATCTTTGTAGGCAGGAACTGAAATCCAGATAAGTAAATGGGGGTCCTGTTGGACTGAACAGTTGTCAAATGCAATCCTGTGACCTCACAGGAGAAAACACATTAAAAAATGCTTCCAGCATGAGCAGAATTAAGAGGTGAAGTTATATCCTAGAAGAGGTACAGTAATTATGCAGAGCAAGTGACTTTTTCTTTTATTCTCTCTCTCCACTCTTAAGCTAGAGTAATGTTTTCTGAGTTCAATCAGATTTGTATGAGTGTAAAATTAGATCAAAATTAGGGCCAGGTTGTTTGTTTTACCAACAGTGCATGTCTCAGGAGAGCGCGTTCGTGTTTCCCTGTAGAAACAGAGGTGCGTCTAAGGCTAGGCGCTGCCAAGACCCGATCACTGGGATTCAAATAAGAATTTCTGGCAGACTGAGCGGTCCCATTAATCACAAGTGGTATCTCTTAAACCCTTCAATTACGAGAGATTAGTGGGAAACTGTAGCATTGGACTAAAGGAGTAATGACACACAGGAAGTGAAGCAGAAAACCTCCTTTCTTCTTTTTAAGGAGAAGTTCAATTTACAGTTTATTTAAATATAAATTGCAAGTATAAAGTATTAGAGTTTTTCACTGTTCAGTTAGTTTCAAATTAACCATACTGTATTTCTGCCTTCCCCAGAGCAGCACTGTGATCTCCAACCTGTCTGTTCCTTAAATTGAACTGAAGTCTTTTAAGTCCATTAAGTTCCTGCGCTATCCCCGTAGCTGGCTGAGTTATGTTCGCCCATCCTCATGCTGCATCCCCCGTGGCATGCATTGCTGGGGCCAGCACGGACTCTGAGCCTCCCCCGCCACCCATAGCCTTAAATCGCATGACTGACTGTGAAACGGCAGAGCAGGAGGCCGTGTTCTCCCATCGTTTCTACTGCTGTAGCTTAGTTGATTTACTCTTGTCATAACCGCTGTTTGGAAATGCTTTGCGTGAATCCTTGGGTTTAGGTTACATGCATAATGATGTTTAATAATGGAGTGCCTACCTAATGGCAACAATGGTAATGACTGAATGTAGCTGTATGCCTTGCCGTGAAGTAAGCGGCAACTCAGCCCATTTTACAGGTGGGGAGTGTGAAACACAGAGATTGTATCACTCTAGTTCACAACCGTACTGCATCTGAGGCACAGCTGTTAGGAGAGGTCCTAGCTCCCCAATCTCAGCCTGATTCCCAGACCACAAGCCTGCCTGTCTCCTCAGGAGATATATCTAGCTCAGATGTTTTAAAATCTGGTTTGGTCTGCCTAGGTTATCGTGTCACAAGTTACATATGCAGTTCTGAATCCCAATATGTGTTTCTCAGGGCTGAAGTTTGCCTGTAACTTGGCTCCTGCTTGTTGGGTTTTCCCATAGTCACAGGTTGCTGGCTGCCTTTGTCCTCAGTAGAAATCAGCTCTGCTTAGGGTTGGGTTTAGAAGAATGCCTTTGGCAAAACATTGGAAGTGGCTTTTTCCTGTTAGAGGTTAGGTTTCATAGAAAGCTCAGCTGAGCAGTTGAGAAGACAACCCATTCACACCTAAGCTGTATTTTTTCTCTTTCTCTCAACTAATGGTGTAAAACTGAAATCATGTGCACAGATTTGTGACCATTTCACCATCTAATGGCAACTTGTTTTCCCAGGTGAAAATATGCGGAGTCAAATTACCACTTTGACTCACAGACATGTAGAGAAGACATCACAAAAATACTGAATAGTCCCAATTAATCTCTGGCCTCATTCTGTTGTCTTCAAAGGGACTGTGTAAAAAATGAATTTGCCCAGATTTTACCTCTCAAAGCAGCTGATTTATTTCCATGTGGGATGAGTTTAGGCTGGCATGAAACGAGATCTACATACAAAAAGCACCCGTCTCAGTGAGACCAACAGAAACTGCAGCCTTGTCTAACTTTTAGGGCTACAACCTCCTCCCGGGGTGCATCTGCCATTCCAACAGCAGACGTGCTCCCACGCTGTGCTGAGGTGACCCTTTGTGGTCATTTGCATGCCAACTGTGGGTGGGTTTGACACAAGTGGCGCACAGTTAAGGAGCATTTAGGTAAAAGTTCTGACTGGGTAGTGTGAAAGTCAGTCTGCTGTAGGACAAAGTGCATGCAGGTGTGAGTAGAGGCAAGAGCTGGCAGAGAGGTGATGTTTGCCCTGTAAAGTTCAGGAACTCATGTGTCTGCAGGTGGTGAATTTATGGGAAGAATCAAAGCCAGACCAATTGTCATCAGTTTTACTTACATCTAAATTGCTTACCAACTAAAGGCAAGGATGCAGTATAAGCTCATTAATCCATGAAGATGTATTTTTGTCTTAGGAATAACATCTTGTTATGTAGCCATTTAATGAGTTGTGAGCTAATACATTTTAACAAATCTTTTATCACTTATTACATTCTGCTCCCTTGATGATAATTTCAAAATCTGACCATTATAACAAGGCTCTTTTCACAACTCTTTGATGATGACACTTAGAACTGAGCACTTCATCTTTTTGCATTTGGATTAGAATCAGAAAGGTGTAAATTACAGATCTGGCTTTTATGGGCTTTTATTGATCAGACTGCTTCGTAGAAACTGCAGCAGTTCTGATAGTTTAGCAGTCTAGATTACCTTTTTGCTTTCTTAATTGGGCCACTGGAGTATAGTTAATTTTCAATTTATATTGAGAGTTAAACAAGGTGATGTAATACCTCATCATTGTACTTAAGTAACATCGACACTAAAACACCATGATGTACCTTGTAATTCTAAATGCACAAGTTGCACTTGTTGAAGTAGATAGGGTATGTTCTGGCTTTATTCACTGTGTATTTTAGGCCAAATTCTGCCTATAATAATTGCTGTCTCTTCACTGACTTCCACTGAGATACTAGCTACAGCAAGCAGGTGTGATTTGGTTGAGTGTGACTGAAAAGTTGATTCAACATACCAGTCTGGAGCATCCAACAGACTAATCATATGTGGTCATCTTTTTGTGTGTTTGCTGACAGGTCAAAGTCATGGTGCGCATTTCTTCCACGCTTGCCAGAGACACGTCTGAGTCCAGCTCTTTCTTAAAAGTTGACCCCCGTAAGAAGCAAATCACGCTGTATGACCCGTTGGCCTGTGGAGGTCAGAATGTTTTCCAGAAAAGGGGCAACCAGGTTCCACCCAAGATGTTTGCTTTTGATGCAGTTTTCCCCCAAGATGCATCACAGGTAGGCAACGTTTGATCAGAATAGTTATCTAAACAATAGCATGCACCAGGGCCAAGTTGATTTCTGCTGCAACAGTAGTACTTTCAGTGGAGTTAGACCAGGACTGAATTTGGTCCATGAATGTCATCAATAATGAAATCACTTTATTAAATTGTATCTCAATAATTGTGTGCTTTCTTCGTTCTTTACTGTAAATAATTGCTTCTAAAATTTGTCAAACAATAAATGTGCTAAATGGTGCCTAGTAGGCAAATCCTCAATATCAACAAGTTATTGTATATTGTATATTATAAAACCTTATTATTTAGCATGTACAGCGATATGATCAGAACTGCAGTTCTCTAATGCAGTCCTCTATTCTTTAAGAAGACAGGGATTATTTATACAGTGTTCTATTGTACAGTTTACAATAAGAGGATGAGGATTTTAGTCCACAAATCTTTATTCATATGGATATATTCAGATTTCTTATTTTTATTAGACTTCTCTGGTTTGATGAACTATGTTACGCAAATGACATGAGGAGGACAGTAGAAGAGTAAAGTAACATTGCAAATTATAATTAGGAAACAGTACTGTAAAGCTGTTTCTGTACTCATAAACTAAACAGACCTAGGGCCCAGGGCCAGCTAAAGCACTGTTGTATGATCGTATCATTAGGTCAATCCCTGACCCAGTTCTGATCCAGGCAGCTAGCACCTCCCAGACTAATTCCTGGATGCTGTACAAGGACTGGCCTGGGAACAGTCCCTTTTTTGGCTCATTTTATTTACTATTATAGAGATAGTCTAGAAATACCCATGAACTAGGTGAATTTACATGATTCTATGACTAAATGCAAAGTGCTTCACATAAAAGCCTAAACTGTGAATTCTGATTTAGTTTCACCCACTATTGATAGGCAGCTGCTGCAGAAGCACTGTAGACCATTCTGCCTTCTTGAACCTTAAATCTAAGAATGCCCAGGGTAAAATTGTGTATTGTACTTCTTAAAGTACTGCTACAATCTTCAGGATGGAGCCTGCTGCTGCTAAAAGCTAAGACTCATAATAATACGGAGAAAAATTAAGAAATGTCATCTAGCTAATACCAAAGAGGCTGTTTGTTCCCCCTACATTCCTTACCCACCTGCTAGTGGAATTTAACTCAGTCCATAATTGGGCAAATAATAGGCCCTGTAAAAATTCCTCCGTATTTGATTGGTTTTTAATCAAAAAATATTTTTAAAGTTCCCTAAATAGGCAGATCTAACAAACCAACCACATCCTCTTACAGTATGTGTATTTTGTTTAACCCCACAAAGGATGTTGATGCTTCAGCCAGTGAAACTTACTTGACACAGAGCAAAAGTCCTGCTTCATGTGCTTGCACAAGTAATGTCATTCCTATCAACAGCATAGGTGATATGAATGAGAGAAGCAAGATTAGACTTTTTGATACCTCAACGTGCTATCTGGAGCACTGATGACATTACAACTATTTTCCAGTCAAAACACTCTATTGATTTTCCTTATTGTTGTTAATGTGGTTTTTTTGTTTGTTTGTTTTGTTTTTTTAATACCTGTGACAGGCTGAAGTATGTGCTGGGACTGTGGCTGAGGTGATCCAGTCTGTGGTCAATGGGGCAGATGGCTGCGTGTTCTGCTTTGGCCATGCCAAGCTTGGTTGGTATTGTTAAATTTCTCTATTCAAGCAGCAAAGTGAATATTTTTAACTCATGATTTCTAAGGCATTATATTAGGGAAAACAAACTTTCATTTGTCTGTGCCTAGTAATTGTATTTGAAAATGGTACACTGTGCATGACCTTGTACTACACCTTCACTTCTCGCTTACACACCTATTCACTTTGCGTATTGTCCAAATGTTGGACAGCTTGCTCTTTGAAAAAAGTTATCTTTGAGTTGTTGCTTCATTTCATCTCCTGAGCACTGTAACCATGTTTAGCACTGTCTTCAATTGCTAATGAACTGTTCCAACAGTGATCTACAGTTTTACAAATGTGTTTGGTATTGGAGACTGTTTGCCAAAATACCACCTTTATCAAGCTGTGTAAAGGCTGTGAATATACGCTCAAATACTTGGTGTTTGTGCTGGCACTATTCAAGTGCTGTGACTGGGCACTCGATTTATATTCTATTCCCTGATTAGACAATTCACTCATTACTAACGTCTTCCTGTTCTGTCTCCAACAAATGGTATTCTAATAGTTAACTGAATGTTACCAATGGATCAAAACTCGCTCTTTGCAAACATATCAACAGCATTTCAGGTATTCGTGGAAAGACAAGGAAAAGGAGAATCATCATCATTAACACACTATTCTTTTGAAATAACTGGATTTCAAGAGTAATCGTATATTTTGTTCATGCTTATCTAATAGTATTTTGAAAATACTGTCTCTTTAAGGAAGAGGGTTGTATTGTAGGTGTGCAATGATCTCCATTCTTTACTGCCTTAAAGAAACACAGACGTACACATAAAACTTTAAAGGATAATTCAGTTTTTCATGTGATAAAGAAGATCAGGCTGTATCAGGCCATGATTATCCCAAATTATAGGCAACAAAAACTGGAGAGTACTGAATGCTGCAATGCCACCAGCTCTGGTACAATGAATGGAGTAGGACGTCTGGTCCAACTAAGCACAAGGCCCCTCTGGGCCAGGCATCACTAGCACTGGGATGAGCACTTGGCTATTTAACCCCCTACGGCCTGCCAAACACGAGATGGCAAATGATATGGAGAAGAAAGGCACCAGATAACGGTGTGTCACAAGTGCTACGTGTCCTTCAGAGAGGTGGTCAGCTTGGGCTTTGCTGGAGCACGAGTTGAGTCTCTGCAGTTGCCAGCACCTCCACCATTCCACCAACCGTGGGCACACCCAGACCTTGCCACAGACACGCACATAGAAATATTTTCTTCACTGATCTTCTTCCACATAGATTCAACATAAGAAATGAAACAAGGGAAAGAAGCCACAAGTACTTGCCTGAAAGTATGTATACCTTTTTCATTTGGTTTATAAATTTAGCTTTAGAAAACTTGTCTAAGAGCATTAAATGTAGTGACACCTAAACCAGTATAAGGTAGTATCTGTGTCTGTTCTTAATCAGCAATTTTTTACAGCAGAGACAAGCCAGAGCTATAATTGCAGAGTCAAATAATAGCAAACCAGGGGAAGGTTTTGACCTAGATAAAATACTTCTTTTTGTGGACCCACTTATGCACCAAATGACCACATGCACCTGCTTTTTTGTGGTTTTTGGTTTTGGGTTTGTTTTTGGTTGTTTTTTTTTTTTTCTGTATGAAGTTACATCTTTATGATCCTGGGGCCAGGTTTATGTCAATCCCAACCCCAGCGTATGAAGCATAATATAGAGCTTTGAAGTAAAATGGTATTCAAAGAATACTGCATTCACAGTATCTGAAGCAGGGATTTTTAGAGACCCATGGCACTCCTGCTCTGCTTATTTCACTCCACTTCACCCACATCAGAGGCTACAGTGTTGTGTGGTAGGGACCTGCAGCACCCTGCCTGGGGAATGGGGGATGTCCGGGGAATGCATGAGGTAATGATTTTTGAAAGCAGCTCAAGATTTCATCTGTTGGTTTTAAATGCTCTCCATTTTCCATGTACTATTTGTCTGCCTGCCTCTCTTTCTCCCATTCTGACTGTCCTTATTGTAGAGAAGAAGTGGTTTTCATGAGGCTGTGCAGGATAATCTCTCTTGGCAGAAGGCTGTGACGGTCTTGGGAGTGATGTTATCTTTTTTCCATTCCCCCTATTCCTGACAGGGAAGTCATACACCATGATCGGGAAGGATGATTCCATGCAAAACCTTGGCATAATCCCTTGTGCCATCTCCTGGCTCTTCAAGTTGATTAATGAACGCAAAGAGAAGACAGGAGCCCGCTTCTCGGTCCGAATTTCTGCAGTGGAGGTGTGGGGGAAAGAAGAAAACCTGAGAGACCTGTTGTCAGAAGTAGCTACAGGCAGCCTGCAAGATGGCCAGTCCCCAGGTGTCTACCTTTGCGAGGACCCCATTTGTGGCATGCAGGTGAATCCAAGGTTCATTTTACCGAAACAAGCAATGTGATTCTTTTTTTTTTTTTTTTTTTTTTTTTTTTTTTAGCTATTGAGATGGTTCAAATTCAAGAACTACCCAGAGCATAAAGCTTATAGACTTGAAAGTGTTTACTTTAAAACATGCAAGAACTTTATGACCTGCAGCTGCAGGGCCATCTGCTCTCCTGGCCTAAATATTTGTACCTCTGGTTTAACTGATGTTGAGCAGGGGCTTGTGTTTGCAATAAAATGTGAAAACATTCAGTGCAAACAAAAATTCACCTCCTCCTTAAAAAAAAAATAAAAAGAAAGTGTGATCTCTCTTTTGTAAAACAACAAGCTAAAATATTTACAGTACTGCACAAATAGCTGGAGGCCATTAATATGGTTGTTTATCTCTTTGTAAACTACATTATTTATAGCACTTGCATTAGCAATGTTGTAGGAAGCATTAATTGCTACTTATTAATCGCTGCCAAGAAATAAATTCCTGAGCTGGGCAAGCCAAGAATAACTTGAACTCTTCTCAGGTTTGCAGGTT